ATTAAAAGCATTATAAAAATAAAATAAAAATAACACATGTTTTATTTATTTAATATCTTAAATTATATTATTGATGATATCTACAGATATGAGCTCATAAATAACGATTAGTATAATTATTTTATTATTCATAATTTAATAGATGAGGTATTTATTTAATTATAAAATTATTTACTATTAAAAGTTATAAGATATATATAAGATTATCACACTGTAGAATTGAAGAATGAAAAAAAAATTAAATTAAACTATATAGTAAATAACTGTAGTAGTATCCTGTTTCATATTTATATTTTTGTTAAACTACGCATCTTCTATATATTATTTGTGGATGTAAATTCACATTATTATATTAAACTAGTATTAATAATTATTATTATTATTAAAATTAGTATTAAAATTAGTAAATTTTAAATATATATTCACAAGATCTTGTAGGACTATACCAAGTATCTACGAAATTCAAATATATTCAATAAACATAGTGATATCTACACTAGTAATAGAATTTTAGTGCATACTGAATTTATACAAGTATTTATTACAACTATTTTCACTATATCAAGAGCAAATTTACTTTGAATTACTAATCTAATCCTTAACTAGTTATTATCTCATTTTCAATGAATCTTTTATCATAAAGATTTATTTAATATCGAATAATTAAACTTTTATATTATATTATATTATATTAGCATAAATGAAATTTACTTATTTAATAGCATTGAAGCAATATAGATTGTTGTGTTATTAGACTATATATAGTATTAATAAAATAAAAAATTAAAGTATATTATTTTTTATATCATACGTATTTCTACTCGAATTCAATTCAATTTTTTTTAAAAATGTAATCTTAAATTATTCAAAAATGTGAGAAAATAGTGTTACATGTGTAGTATTATAGTTAAAATAATAATAGTATGATAATTTAAAATACAAATATAATACTTGGAATACCTTAAAAATAATCTTGATTTAATACCAATTTAACTACAAAGCTATTCATTAAATCAAACTTTTTCACGCCAAAAATATTTATCTTTCATGAATGTTATCAATTGTGAATAACAAAACATGATGAATAATTATTTAAAATAATTAATATATATATATAAATATATACATAAAATATATTTATATGTGACTTTCCAAAGAAAGTTAATCAAAAAATTAAAAAAATATTGTAATAAGTAATGAAATATATTATTAGAAGAAAGGAGAGCTTACTTAAGCGTATTTAAATAAATTTCCTGATAAATACTATTTTAAGAATCATAATAATAACTCCACTACGCAATCATAATTATTAAAAAATCGAATGCTTATTTTATTTGACTAATATTCTTTATATGTTAAATAAATAATAAATTATTACTGGGAATTAAGTAACTACGTTAAATTAAAAAAAATTAAATTACCAAAATAATTATTTAGAATGAACTTATTATTAGTAAATGTATTGTAATTATAATATTAATAATAAAATAATTAGTATATAATTTTAAACATCACTTGAAACGTTTTTGAGTCAATTTTCAGAAATAAAATAGAGACAAGATGTAGATAATCTACTTACTTGCGAAAATTTAAAATCCAACCCAAGAGACGACGAAACTACAGCTACACTGACCATAAGATTCTTTCTTTGAACAACTACAAGAACCCATATTGAAACCACACGGACTAACAGCGAACCTTATCCCTGTTATACTTCCATCCTAAAACACAAACTATTGATACATTGCCGATAGCCAATCGGTAAGGAGGTACATGAAGCTCTCTAACCACAACCTTACGTTATTCACTCAGGCATTGCTTCACTCTGTTACAAGTATTATCCTCTACATGGAAATATTCACATCACGCAAATGGAAGGCGAATGCACATCCGTAACAGAACATTATGCTCACGCTATACATAGATATTGAAACTGACCAATACGCCAAACTTGTAAACACCACAACTGCGCGGTATTGCGTCCGTATCAGTTCAGATAAGAAAAATTATCCTTGTCGAAAGTGAAGTGGGATAAAACGTAACATCAAATTAATATTAAATGAATAAATTATCGGTTAATGAAACCAGTGAACGGGATTTTAATCATAAAAACAAAACTAATAAATTGTAAATAACACCATAAATTTGAAAATTACACAACTCTGTAAAAATTATGAATAATTCAAGAGTAAATTTTACTATAATATCGTATGAACATTATATACATGTTGAATGTCGATATTAAATAAAAACAGTTTTCTCATTAAATAACAATCACATTATTTAATATATTCAATGCGATAGTATAGTTGCACAATAAAATAAACTTCTTTTTCTATCACAGCCTCGAGCTTCTTCTGGAATTGTTCCGCAACTCAATAAAGTTTATTAGAGTATTAAGCTAAAGACCGTTCGATGAAGTTTCCAGCTTTCCTGTAGCTAGAAAAACAAACGTAATCAAATGTATTCTCAGCGGATTTTTCCTATAATATTCTTACTTTCAGATATTAATTACTTATTTTAGTGACAACAAATTATAATTACCAATATTATTTATTTAGAAATTCTAATATACTTCATGTAAATAAAATAAAAAATATTTCGTTATAACTATATATCTACTAATAATTCAATATAAATATAAATAATTTAACTATAATTACATACATTATATTAATCGAATCTATAAAATTAGAAGATTTTATGTATATTCTGCGCTTTTAAAGGCTTATGAATAATCAACATCAATATAATTATAATATTAAGGAAACTATTATTTAAATTATATCCTTCACTCTCTTTATATCTATATAAGTAATCTTATTGATATAGTAGTATAATTTTATTAAAATGTAGGTGTAAAAATAATATATAAAATTATTGATAATCAGTACTTTTTATTTTTGTAATTAAATTGCCTTTATAATTAAATAGTTTTTCGAATTTTCCATCATACTTATGAGTATAAAATCTAAAATTATCATATAATTAATAATATAAAAATAACTCTCATAATCATTTTTGATCGTATGCATTTTTTAATTACTTCTAACATTAGATATACCCGTGATATAATTATTAGTAATTGTTGATTAATTTTGAAATACTAATTGCTAGAATTTATATCTAAATTTGTATCTATTTTAAAAGTTCTTAACAAAGAATGAAATAGTAGAGTACAATATTGTGAAACATAATATTACGCAAACATAAAATAGAATGATAATATAATTGTTAAATAATTTCGCAGTTTAATACAAATTAAAATAACTGAAATATTCTGCAGCAGAAATTTCATACACGACCTGAACGTTTCTTGTACACGTCATGTGATCAATTAAGGTCGAAAAATAACAATAGGATTCTAGTTACAATTAACTTTTTTCAAAATGAAATAATGCATTTCAGAAACAATGCATTTTTTCTTGGACGAAAGAAAAATTGCTTTGCAATTATGAATCTATTATTTTCATATAAAAACTACATAGCTTATAAAATTATAAAAGACAAGTGCCTAACTCACCAATAATATACATTTATTTTTACTTATTTTACTTTATTTCCACTCTTCTGTATTTGTAAATCATTAATGGAGTATAATTATAATTTCAACCATTTTAATTTATCCTAATTCGAAGATGATAAATTAATTTATCATTTGATAAAAAATGAACAAAAATAACACTATTTCTATACTTTTTATTATTAATTATCTTTATTATTAATAATATGCGTTACATATATACTAATCAAAAATATGTCATTTTATTATAAAAAATAATATTGTTTATTATATAATTCTATACTTATTATATAATATATATATACATATGTGTGTGTGGGTGTGGGTGTGTGGGTGTTGGGGGGGGTACATTTATACAGAACTATATATATATAATAAATCTTGGTTTACATTTATATACTCAAATAACAGTTCTCATTCTCAATATACAGTGAATATAGTATATTTAGTGTTAAAAAATTTCATTAATTGGAATTTAGTTATTTTTATCTTTCTGTGCATATTACTTAGTAATACACAAATGTAATTGAAGAAGCAAATGGAAAAAGTATTATGAAATGTAAATCAACATATATGTTCAAGATAGTTTATAATACAAAAGGTCTCACATTTCCATATATCAATAGTTTTAAAATCTGAAAAGTATGCACTTTAGTTATATATTATATTATATATTATTATAATTTGATTGTTAAAATAATAAAATTATAATTTATCGTAATAAATTTTAATTAATACGCAAGATTACTTACAACATTCGACTCAGATTTTATTATTTACTCGAGTTATTATTTATGAATCCATCTAAATAAAAATAAAACTTCTTAAATGACATTGTTATTACTATTAAATTTTTAGATAACATTTTAAAATATTTCTGAAGTTTGTGAATTCCAATCGTGTAGGATTATCAGTGACGCGCATTATACGTTTCATGAGAATTTCCTTGTTTAGTGATTTAAGTGACTTAAATAAAGTTTTGTTATTCCCAATTCTATTTCAAATTTTTGCATATATTTGATAAATATATTTGATTTACACGAACATCAAATCGGTATATAAACTTGCACATCACTCGCTTCTCATTAGAATCAATCCGACTTTGGAATTACCTAGTCTTTTACCAGTGAAAAATAAGTATGTAAGCTTCTTTTAATAAATATAAATACAGTTATATTTTAAAATTTACTTTAGAAATAAGATTTTATAATGATAAATCTTAAAACCATTAAAATTACTATTATCCTATAAATATAAAAATTAAATTTTATATAATAAAACAAAAATATGTGTCAATAACATAATTTATAACATTCAAATGAACAATTGATTTTTAAAGATATATTTTTTCTTTTTTTTTTCATATATCATTTACGATGAATAATTATTGCAATGCTTTAAATAGTGACTATCAAAATATTGTAATCACTTCAAATATATCACTAATAAATATAAATAAAAAACAAATAATTAATTTTCACAGACGGGCAAAATGAAATATTTCACAATTATACTTGGAATGTTAGTTGTTTTCACCGCAACAAATGTTCATGCGAGAAGACATTCAGGTTCTTCCCCATTTCGCCCATATAGACCCCCAAATAGACCGATAGTACCAAGACCAAAACCCATACCACCCGTAAGTATCATCAATTGCTTGAATCGAGTAGATTAATTTCATTGTTGATTGAATATTTGAACAGCAAAGAAAATCTATTGTATATCTAGTCGTAACAATTAATGACAATGAGACAATAAAGATATAACTGTCAATGAATGTGTTTTGCTCTTCTTTTTGGCAGCTACGAATCCGCAGGGATAATGGAAATGTGGGCGTGCATTCAATAATAGTTAATGGCCGGCCCGTATCCACAAGTGCTGGATTCGAAAAAAAAATTTATGAAAATGATCACGGCAATGTGGCATTGAGTGGCGGACTTGAGCATGTACCACATCAGAAATTAGGAAAAAATATCGGCATGTCTGGGAGATTTGATTTCGGCGGCGCAGGACGTCACTTATCTGCGGATGAGAGACTTTTAAACGAAATCATGGAACAACGGAGGCGAGACAAGCTGCTGCGATAATTATCAATAATTATATTAAATCTCTAATTTTAATATTTGCAACAAAGTATTTCCATGTAATAGCTATTATTATAAATGATTTTGTAAACATTGTACGAAAGCATATAACTAATACATTATATTATATATATGATATATAATATATAATAATAAATATAATGATAATATGAGAAAAGGATTTTTTATTTTACAATAACATTCATAATTCATAAAATTCCGTTTACATTCAATTTTTTATCTTCTTTATATTCAATTGACTCATAAATTATGTTAATTATGTCTTTGAGAATATACAATTTATTTTTCGATAATATTAACTAAACACGCAGTTATAGCATTTTAAAATTAAATTTTGCATCTATTATCAACAACTATATTTATTTTTTACATTCAAATTCATTATTTTTTAAAACTTAGCTCAAATTTCATAAAAAACGTAAATGATATTTTAACTTAACAATCTTGGAATTGATATAATTATAAATATTACAAAAATATTTTATTACATAAATTATATATATATATATATATATATATATATATATATATATATATATAAACGTTTCCTTTACAATTATATTGTATTCTACTTTTATAATGAACGTTGATAATATTGAAATAATATTATATGCTATCAAGATTTAAATAATTTAATATTATTAGTGACTTCTAATATTTGATAGAAATTAACTGATGATAAAATATTTTCAAATACAAATTATTGTATTATTTTTTACTCTCTAATTACAATACTTGATTTTATAACAAAGCAATTTATTTGATTTAATTTAAAATATGAGGATAAGAGTTTTTTATAAAAAGAAAGAGAAAAAGAACAAAAAATTGAAAATCCCAGATATAATTTAATTGAAAATTGAGCCGTAAATCTAGTAATACGTGTGTAATGCATGAAAAGGAAGCGCAGCCTACAAACGTAATTGTAATAACATTGCACGAATCAATGGTAAATGGGTTTAAACTCTCATAGCTGCTCTTTGTTTTCGCCTATCTCCCGAAGTTTGTCCGCAACCGAGACTCCATGGTAAGAGAAAATTTATTCGGGTGCCAGGGTGAGTCAGGCTCTCTTATAGCATATAAGGATGCCGGTACTTGTTCGCGACTCGCGCCCCGACTAATCGGATAATATATGTACGACGGCGATGCAAGCAGACCGCTCGCACACATAGAGACTCGCGAATATGAAGGAATGAGCAAGCGAAACTTGGCCATTGGCCCTCGCGCACACAGACTTCTCATAGCTGCGGATTATCGGCTGCCTCCAAGGCGCGTAATATCAACGAGAGCGAAGAACGGAATGAGGAAAGCAAGTTACAGCACTAACAGAAGCGCCACAGCTCCTCTTACACTATCAATGCAATATGCAAATTATCTGTGTAATGATCGAGTAAGCGATCTAGCGAAAGCTGCGCCCACTTAACGACCAACGGAATTATTCGAATCAGCGAAGCAAATGGATTTATTATTATCAAATATTTCTGACGCTAGATAAAAATTATTCTGCGTATGTTCGGCTACAACTATTTCAATCTATTTTCTAGTATTAAAATCGCTTAACCACATGTGAGCTTGGACAATCGACATAAAATATAAATGGTCTAGAAAGCTGAATATTGTTATCACATAATTAATATTCAATGCATTTGAAAGGCTCTAGAAGGTTTGTGTTATAATATTGTATGACAATTGTACAAATTACACTTATTTATAAATATATATATATATATATATATATATATATACAAATACATTTATCACTTCCACTAGATTTTGAAATTAATTTATTTAACATCAAATATAAAATGTTTATTATTACTGTACCGCTATTTTAATAAAACCCGATAATAAGATTTCAAAAAATGTGTAACATTGAAAACCTCTATTTAAGATTCGAATGAAGTTTATAAAGTCTTATACGAAGGTTCGGAAAATAATCCTCTTTAGATGTATAAAATGCTTCTACAATACTTTATAATACTTGAAAGTATATCTATCTTTTTAAGAAAGTTGTTTAGACTTTGCCATTTTTTTCTCGAAAATCCAAAGAAATATGCAACTTGTTTTACCTATTAAAAAAAATCCTATAAAGTTATATAAAGAAGGTGTAAATCAATATTTTACTTTTTCATTTCTAGCTATAAATATTAACTCTGAAAAATGTATATAAAAATTTTATATTAATAAAAAACCTTATGAATAATATATGAAACTATGCTCTTTATAAATGTCAATTTTTAAGAAACAATCATTTATTTTCAATTTTCAATACAAAAGTGTATTAAATAATTATTACCTTTATAGATTTAAAGACGATGATTAACAAATTGCGACGAGTTAATGACGCGTTTGAACAAATAGAAAGGGTGAAATGAAACTAATCGACAATCAGAAAGATAAACGATATAAAACAGTGTTGAGAATTAAAAGCAAATACAATGTTTGAAAGACTGCAGGCTAAGACAATACTAAAAGTAATTAAAGCTAAAGATATGTGTCATTGGCCACATTACATTGTCACATACGATTGGAAAGCAGTAAGCTTGTTGCTAGTTAAACGAAAATACCACTATGAGATATTTTTTAATTAAAAATCATAATCATAAGTAGTCTTAGATATTATGAACAGTTGAATTTTTATACAGTTAGGAGATAAGAGAAAACGTTATAAAGACAGAATATATAGATGTGGTAAAGATGCGGTATAACCTAAATAGAAGATCAGATAAAATGAGAATATAAATAAGAAATGACGAATAAGAGAGAATACTAATAAAATAACTTTAAAAAAGTAAGCCGAGTTATCTGCAGAGTGATAAGCAAAAAATACAAGGTTTCTACGAAGCAAGAGAAAGGGGCGGTTCTGTTGGTGTTGGAAAGAGGCATTAGAGGCCAGAGAAAGTGACAGAAAAAAAAATCAGAGCAATAAATATTTTATTCGTCACTCGTCGTCGCCGTCTTCGTCGTCGTCTTCATCCTTTCGGTAAGCGTTCGTTTGTCCGGCTCTAGCTTTCGCGAACGTGTCTTAATTCTGCTCGAAACCCCTCACGAGAACTGTTCGTTTTCTCTTTCTTTTCTTTCCCGAATCACCCCTTTATCACTCCCCTGTCTTTCTCGCCGTAGGAGCCTTAGCTTAGAGCTTGTAAGTAGGGGAGGATTTACATATTCAATCAAGCGTATAACTCGATGTCCCGGTCCAAAGAGGCTATGAGCACCTCCTTACACATTTATCATAACAAGCCCGAACAACTCGCTTTAAAAGTTCTTTCGCAGCGTCTTCTCACGTGCCAACTACGACGTTTTTCGATCCGATTTCGACTTTCAGTCACCTCTTCTATCCCCTTCCTCTCTCATCCCGCCCCCCTTACACCTCACTTTCATCCTCTTCCTTCTCTATACTTCATCGAAGTATTCGCTACGTTGGCACATGTCTACCACACATATCTCTAAGCTCGGCCCAGGTAATGCGGATGTCAGGTGCTTTCGCCAAAGAGACATTTCTCATTTTGACATAGCTTTAGATGCTATGTCTCGTCTATCTTTTTCTACATCTCCTCTACTATCTGTATCTTCTCTTTTTACATTGCTTCCCTGCCAACATCGCCTATCAATCGAGAATTAGAACTAATTTTTAAAATCGTAAAAAAGCAATGTTCACTTTAATCAAAACAACATTTACTACTCGTCTTATTCATAACTCTGATATAAGCTTATTAGGCTATTAGTGCAGTAGTCAATCAATTCAGTGTTTGCAAAATATTTTATATATATTTATATATATATATATATATATATCTAAAATCATTTCACCGATACGATCCATATTTCTATTTAACCGCATTTTCAACAATGCCAATTAAAAATTTCTATACGTTCTATAAAAATGAAATATTTACAGATTTCTAATTAAATTATGCATTTTAAATTGAATTTTTTGATCGTATAACGTAGCCAATAATAGATTTACATTTTTTTTATCAATTTGTAATAAGAACTTGATGTAAAACTAATGAGGTATATATATATATATATATATATATATATATAAATGTATATTTTTCAAAAATTTGACATTTTGTTACTTAAGTCACAGAATACTATTCACAAGCATAATATAATAAAAAGATATTTTAACTGATAATAAAAAAAAGTATTTTTAACTAATGCATACATTACGAATAATATAATAATTTATTGAATGATTGAATGTATAAGTGAAACCTTGTTAACTCTACTTATGATGATTCGTCCAATAAAAAAATCTTCAAAACTCTGGCAATGGATTTCAACATAAATCTAATATAATTAAATTATAAATAACATAAATTTCAAGCCATTTAAAAAATATTGTAGAAAAACAAAGCTATTTTTTACATTAAACCTATTTGTTAACAAATATTCAACCTGCAGTAAATGTCATTATAAATATTAAAATTATATGCAGTTGTAAACATTTAAATTAAACGTATTACATTAAAGTACAATATTTTAAGAATAGTAATTACTTAAATTACAGAAAAATTCAATAATAATTATATTAAATAATTGAAATAATGTTTTTTATACACGTAGTAATGTTTCATATATTTTTATAAAAAAATTTCCACTAAAATTCTACTGAAACTACATGATGAAACGAATATAAATAGCATCACTTTAATAATATTCAAGAATAATTCATTTAAATAATAAATCAATTCACATCTATTCATGTTCTGTTACAATCTACACATTTTTTCTAATTTATTATCAATTATTTTTTAAGAATTTTTAATTATTTTTAAATTTACACATCAATATTCCATTGGTCAAATTTATACAAAAAACTTATAATATTTAAAAAGTGAAATAAATGTATGTTTTAATAAAATAATTTATAAGAATACATAAATAATAGTTTGTTTAGTTGTAAAGTATTAGTAAATATTTATATATATATAAGCATCTATTTTATATAAATTTCAAAGCTTATAAAATAAAAATTTTATAATAACGTTTGTATAATCTATAATAATATTAATTTATTGCATCAAATCTATTCTTCTTTCAAATAAATT